GCAGTTTGAATTCAACGCCAAAAATTCGCAACCTTTCCTAACCGCGGGTCAGAACGTGCAGATTAAGAAGACATATTGCGAATAAGTTGACTAAGTTCTGGAATATTGAAGGGCACAAGCGTGCATTATTTTTTCTTCTTTTTTTTTTTTTTTTAATTGATCGAGCGGTGTGGCGAAGAAGGAAAAAGCGTCAAATGCGGAAAGGGTTAGTTCTCTTGTCTAATTCGAAGCATAATAATAATGCTGAATGTTAATGCGTGATGAATAGCGTATGCGTCACGATGTCGAAAGTGCAAATAACTATGGCATAGATCAAATGGGTCATTTGTATTGAGGATTAAGCTAAATGGCATCCACATTTGGGTAAGTGGGATGTTATTAAATATTGTGAACGAAACGATTATTTTATCCAAAATATGAGCGAATTATACTGAAAGTTATGATGGTGTGATTTTAGGTCTAATACGGCAGAACTCGTGAAGGAAAAATTAGCAGTTGCCATCCTACGGTTTTTGTCGATTAATTTTACCATCAACCGATGTTTTATTGCCTTCTCGAGTTCTAAAAGAATGAATTCTTTGAGTAGTAGCGATAAAAGGTTCTGCGCACAGAATTCATCTTTTACCTGAAAGAGGGAGGATGTAGAGTTATCGATAGATGACGTTTTTCATTAAATACATCCTGCTATTTTTTTTATATCGGGTCGTCAAGTACGAAGGTTCTAGATAATAGGTTGAACGCAGTAATATGTAAAAATAAATTATCGCATTTTGAATAGAAAATCGTTAGAAACTTATTCACATTCCTTTGCGCGAGTAGAACTCGGGCAGGCCACTTAAAATTGTGATTATAGTAGAGCTTGATAAATTGGGACACCTAGATTGCTGAGGTCTGATTTAGGTCTTAACTGTTGCTACGTTGAACAAGATATAAACAAATGTAGGAATTGTTCTCATATGGAATGAACTCACACCCGTATAGTAGCTCTAACAACAACAACAATAATAATAACAAACAGCGTAAATAATTATCCATATGCTGTACGTATATATATATATATATATATATATTATATATGTGTAACTTTATATAAATCCCTTGTCAATTTGAGGAAGGTTTAAATTCCATATTAAGTTAACTTGTGTTTGCTTTCAGCGCATGTTAAATGATAAATACACGTGTTTAAATTAAATTCATTTAGCTTGCGATTGTATTAGAGAATATGCATTAAGTATGCGTTTGGCGAGCGGTTTGGGAATTGTTTACACTTTAGAGGGAGGCAGCAATCCTTTATCAAATTCTATGGTACATCATTAACAGGCAAAGCCACTTGTAAATACCTTAGATAAACATAACACAACAACAAAATTTGTAGAGGAGGTTTTGTTCGGAGAATTTAAATTACAAAGTATTTAAGAGAGATTTTTAGTAACGTAAGGTCATGGGCACATAAGCCAGCATTTTGTTTTTTTTATTTTTTTTTTTTATATATATTGTAAATTAGCAATTAAAGCGCAGATAAGATGTTGTGAATAAGAAAATGAATGCAAATCTTTAGGGAAAAGTAGGCAAACGTTCAGGGCTGAAAGCATTTCTCCATTTTTTGAAATTACATGTAAGCAGCTAATTAACAATTCTAGTTGGGTTTGCTTATTCGTCTCCCTCATTTATTTATCTTTATTATAAACGTAGGTGAGTACATATATATGCTGATAATTGTTGTACTTTTTGCTTGCCTATTTACCTAAGTGGATATAATAACAAATTGCTTATTTGTTTATATTATACAGTCCACGGCAAAAGTTTTGACTTATTAACAGAAATTCATCTCTCAATTTATCCGTTTACGCATTCTCTTTGTTTCTAGAGACTTTCTTATTATGATTATTTTCTATCCGTTTCGTTATTAGAAGGCAATGTGACAAAAACATTAAAATTGGAATAATACAATGTAAGTAATTCGCGATAATTTAGTTCTTATGATTTTCTCTTGGCTCACAAATATTTCGGTTCAAGCTAAAATTAAACGTTTTATTCTCTTTAATAAGTCTTGATCTTGAACTGTTATAGTAGAAATTAGCGAAATGATTATAACCCATTCCTATGCACTCTATATATTTCTCGAAAAAAGAGCTTGTATTTCGATGGCGAAAAGTAAAAACTGAACTGTGTTATGCTTGGAAAAGTAGTAGTAGGATAAGCGTGTAAAAGCATTCGTCCTTGGGCCAAAACACGTCAGTATACTGTGCCCTCGACGTTGACCACATGACAAGGAAACGGATAGATGGACAGACACATTTAAATCGAGTTGGAAAGTGATACTAAATTGGTCATATAATGTAAGTTCGGTCTATCTCAAGTTTTTCGACTTTATCCATACATCTGCATAAGTTGAATATACCCTTGTACCTCAAGTGGTGTACGGTATCAAACCGAAAATATGATTTGTAAGGGCATCATATCCTTTCCACATAGATCAATGATCGCTTATAAATGCTCAATCCTGAATAATAAAAATAAAATTGCGACCACGTTTACTTAAACAACGAATATTTATATACAGATCTTGATTGTATATACAAAGATCGGGTTTTCAGTAGGCAGGCTAGCATGCACATAGATAAGTAATGCTCAATTACTTTCGGGGTTCACACTGACTTGCCATATATTTATATATGTGTATATATTCTAATATAATATATATATGCATATGTATATAGATATATTTCACGGGAACCTGGGTACATTTTTTTATACGATATAAGTATAGAATACATATATACATATAATATAGAAATACATATTTTTATATGATATAATTACTGAATATATTTCCTTCGTGGGTATAAAAACACACTAATGCATGTTACATGATGTTTTTTTTGAACAAAATTTTCAGCTCATATACGATTGGTTAGGATGGACATAAACTTTTAACGTGCACTGTATATGGGGGAACTGTTGCAGTATTCATGGCATTTGTAATACACATTAACTTTACGTCAGAGAATTTTACGTTAGCTTATTAATGAGGCCGAGAAAAGAGAGTAGCATTTAAACAACAACATTCCATTTATTCTTCTTCCTATGGAATAGATATAAGATTGCTTTGGTATGCAAAGAAATCATTATGTGTGATGGTAGTAATTAATTTTGCTCATTTTCTATGCATAAAAGCGAGAAGAAATTACCCAAACTGCTGTATAGTTAGTTTGAAATTTTCGTAGAAATAAATGGAGCGGAGTTATATTTCGGATCTTTAACACTAGAACGAGCGAGCACGTTGTTTTAATTCTTCTTAATTTTCGATCTTCAAATAAATAATCATAAGGCATGTACTGTTAAAAATTTTTTTCGGTCACTTCTATTTGTATGAAAAGACCATTAAATATCTATAGTTAGATTTTTTGTATCTAGCCTAGCTTTGCTGAGGATGCTGAGGACTTCAAATTAAAAACAAAATGATTGAAAAGGCAATTCTTTCGCAAAATTGGCCCATGGATGTTTCGAAACCGCGATCTTCATTTTATTGGCCTGAAGCTCTAATCAACTGAGCTAATGAGCTTGCAAACTTACAAACCTACGATTAAGATCGTATCACAATTTAGGAACACTTAAAAGGAAGCTTCAGAGACCATGTCGTTCGTGATCAACGTGAAATTCTGAATTGATTAAGTTATGTCTGCCCGTCTGTGTGTCTATTCGCTCGTTGTTGGGACTCTCGTGGCCGCACAAATGAAGTTATTAACTTCAAATATGATGGAAACATTGGACGCTTTTGCACGCATTAAAATTGAAAATGAGCCAAGTTGGTCAGAGCAGAAGCCCGCAGTGCAATCCCACTTTATTAAACAAAAATTTTTATATTAAATTATAAAAGTTAGAAATCTAATATTTTCCATATTTACTTGACGAAACACTCTACTACTGCAAAAAAATGGGAAAAAATCGGCCAAGCCCACACCAATCACAAGTGATTGGTAAATTATCTTTTTGTTTTAAACTTTTTTGAGGTTTTATATGATTATCGAACATAAGGTCGATCCGACATAATGCTTGAAACTATTTTATACATTGCTCACGCGAAGATACATTATCTGCCTAAAAATTGGTTAATTCTCAAAGAAATATGATGGACATTACGACCTGGTGAATTACTTTTTTCTTAATAATACCAGCGATGCATAAAAGCGGACATATAAAATGGCTTAGAGAGTAAAATGCCGAAAGCTGAGTGTCTTAATTCTAAACTAATTATGGTGAACGTCATACTTGTGGTAAATTAATTTTTCTTAGCAATACCTTTTCGCGAAGTAAATGTAAAGCATAAATACTTTATTCCTTTCTCTTTTTTATGATAACAAGCAAAAGGAAGCGACGCTGACGATTTTAATGGCGGTGGGTGTGCGAGATTCGGCTCCAGCCGCATATAAGTTTCTTACTTGTTTTCTTTTATTATTATTCTCCAATTAATATTAACGTAAAAAGAGGATTTGAAAAATTGGAACTATTAAGGGAGTTATTATACGTCGTATACCTTCTTGATTCGGGGCACTACTGGGTGTTGTTTAAATGCAGTGCAAAGGACTTCTTCATGCGCTATATGAGAACAGATGAAATAACCGTTACATTCGCAGAACGAATTAAAAATCCGCTAAGTGCAAGAGAGATGCGTTAAAAGCCCTGCAAAGTAACGCCGAAACACGATAACCAATTGGCCAGCTCATGTCTTCCGTATTTTGGGATACGCATGGCAACGTGTTTATCGAATGCATTGAGAAGGAATGCATGATGATTAGGGAGCATTATATGGCACCTTTGCTTGAACTGAAAGGGACAATGGGCTAAAATAATGGTCCAAACATCGCGTGTTTAATGGCAAATCTGAATTTTACACTTTACTATATTCTGCGAATCATGTATGCCGATTTGTGCGAAAGAAAACGTAATAGATTTTTAATATAATACATTAACTATATGAGTGCATTGCTTTTTCTTACCTTTCCACATTGTTTACATTTGCCTTTTTCCATTTTACGATGCACCCAGTGATGATGGGTAACCGCTTGTTCCCTGTATTGTCTTACACCTACGTCACGATATGTTGGCTTACATGCTAATTGAGTCTTTTCATTAACAATTGGAATGCAATTTTGATGCGCGATTAATTGGCATGCCGAGCATTTCATGCGTTGTCCACTTTTCTGTAGGATCAAAAAAATTTGTTAAATATATAATTTTTAATTACATATACGATGTATATGAGTTGCGAAAAGAATGCTTTTATCATGTAATAAATAAATCAAGCGATCGACATTAAAATGGATTCACAGGATGGATTCTTTTTGGATTTTTGCTGCCTAATGAAAATGCTTTTTGTAATTATTTTATCTGACAGGTTATTATTGTTGTTGGACTTAATCTGCGGTATTTTTGTTAAAAGGTTAGTTGGAAAACGGCTTTTCCAATTTCAATATATACGTCATGTTAGATGTCAATCTTTTACTTTCATTATACACTATGTCGCTTCTGGTACGGCCGCACGTAACACTCAAAAGGCCTTAAGAGAAACCCTCCGATTGATTCAGAATTAATTTCTAAATTTGTTCGCCCACTTGTGCGTCTAATGTCTGTCCATGTATTTTTGTATCCCAACTAAAAATCGCAATTTCTGAGATAGTTTGATGAGTTGTTTTGTCCCAAGAATGAACACTATCGAAAATGATTCGGATCGGTCCATTTTCCATATAACGAAAAAATTGCAAACTTAAAAAAAATTTGGTTCGACTGCTGCGCAAATGTTTGAAACCCTTTCTCACGAAAATAGAGTTTGCATCTGGTAAAAAAAATCGAATTTTTAATATTTTATGTTGAAAATTGATTCATAATAATAAATTGACAAAGAAGCTAATCTTTCCGAGCGGTGTACGGAGGACCATGACCGCACTTAAGGATTCTCAGGAAATGTACATTGTTACATTCCAAAAAAGGCCAAAAAGGCATTATTAATATTTTATGATAGTAATTTGACTCAAATTAAGTGAACTAAATTTGAACCACATGGATGTATTTCTTGGACTCCACCCCGTATAAAATATTTTATGAATAAAATCCCTTTAGAAAATGGTTTCATTTCTAATATTTTACGATGAAAATTGGTTCATAGCAGTAATTTATCCAAAACATTAGCGGTAGGAAATTGGGATCGCATAGGTCTATTTTTAGAACTCCCCATATAGAAGGTGGATCGCAAAGAGCAAATCTGTATATGCACAGAAAGTCTAAGTTTTTTATGATAGACACTCGAATGTGATAAAATTTTTAGAAGCTAAATTAAGTTTACTTAACATGGATTACGCCGTGTGACGTTTTGGACATCCATCTATGTGTGGGCTTCCATGGGATAACTGTGCTAGACCAAGTGTTGTAGGGAATGTAATGGTATCTAAACGGCTTCTCGTGAGTATAACGTTCGTACTTGTTTGTTACGATAAAACAAACTCTGCCTCTACTTGGGAATGTAGAGTGAATCTAGTTGTTCCGAATAAAGACTAATGAAGAAAGAAACTGAATACAGAAGGGTAAAGAGAAAAGGAAGCTAAGTGTTTTTCAACGTTTGCAACGTATCGGTCCATTTTGAATTAATGCAAGTAAATAATTTAATGAGACACCAATAGCGGGAACGCCAGCAAGGGATATTTTAAATTCTGCTTATTATGAAAATCTTAAATATATTTATATGATAGGTAATAAGTTCTTTGCCTGGGTAGATTGCGAATGCTCTCACCGCGGAAATTTCGTCGCTCCGAGATAAAATAATCTTCGACCGAGTTTTGCAAATCTTCTGACTGCTGACCCGCTAGGTATGACTGCACTAATCAAGCCAAAGACCATTTGCGGGATTGCTTTACTCCTGATAGCCTGAAGCATATCTAATCTATGTGCACCCAAAATTTTGGGAAAAACAAACGCATCATGTACGTTTTATGAAACAATCTATTTCAACGGGCGGAACTTATTTGCGTAGCACCAGATTTTGTTTCTTGTTTTTTCTTTTCCATGACAAAAATAAATGAAGAATTTTAAGCGCTTAGGCCAAAAAAATTAATTTTGCTAACCTTGGGCCACATCAATTCATATTTTGAGTCTTCTCCTTTATCAACTATCCCATAAAAGGTATGCGTTTACACGCGAGCAAAGTATAATTTTTGTATTTTACCACAAAAATGAATGACAATTTGATTTAGGATCATTTATGTAGGGTTATTATAAAAATGTGTTTATTCGTTTTTATTGCATATTTTCATAATCTATGCCATCATTTCATAATCTAGATCCATCATTTATTATATCCATTTTAGCAGAATTATTTTCAACAAAATCGCTTGACTAAAAGTAATTGAAAGCGGATTAGATCGGATTATTTTCTTGGCGAGTCGAGCCACTTTGAAAAGATTTCACATTTCACGTGAAGATTTCATATCATTCAAAAAAAATATCAATTGGCGGTACTATATCTATATGGAAGATTTGGGTGAGCAGGGCGATTTTTTTCTTGTAAAGTTTCAATAAAAATAAGCATTTGTATGATAACAAGGTCTAGGTTTTGACAGTTTATTACTAAATTAGTGGTATAGGATGTTTAATAGAAATCCTTGCTTGACTATTAACGTTTGAAGTTGTTTTATTTGTTCATTTCACGAATTTATAAGTGACTGCTGAGCACATTATTATTTATTATTTACGTATTATATGTAAATAACATGTATGCTGGACACGTGTGCAGAAAAGCATTAAAACAGCAAACAGCACAAATTCATAAGAATATGCTTTACACAATAACGAAGAAGAGGCCGTTTTTAAAGCTTACATTTTTTGTGGTACAAGTTACAAGTTACAGAAGAAGGACTTGAGATAGAACCATATTTTATTACACCGATCTATTCGGAGTTATTTTTTGAATGGATTGTACGTCTGGTACGTATGTCCGCCTGGTGTCTGTAGATGTATTCATGTGCTCAGCTTATATAATTATTTTAATGAAATTTGGTGTACGGACGAACGCTATTAAAAACGGTTCGGATCGGACTACTTTTTCCACTAGCGAAAAGGGTGCAATTTACAGAATTTTGCGATAAAAACAGTGTATTGCAGTATTTTATCATTATAAATTGGCGCGAAAACTTGGGATCAGATATAGCAATTTGCTCAACCCATTGGATCATGTAGATCTATTTTTTGAATTTAAAGCCCAGGTTTCAAGGTTTAATTAAAAATAAGTTTTTACATTTCGAAAAGATCTAGGTTTTAATGTTTTATGAGGCAAACTTGTCCTTAGCCAATCAATCATATGAAATTTGAATCAAATAGATCTATTTTTTGTAATCACACAGATCCATACATAGGGATTCTCATGACAGCTTTCTATGGAGACAAAGACCCATATCATTTAGAAGATGACCTCGATACGTGCAAATTTTTTATATTAACGTAATATTATATGTTGAAATACCGTTACTCAAGAATTTGTGGCGAGGAATTTTGACGACTTTTCCAAATAAGGCGTAGATGGGGAGCGGCCGAAAAACCACCACCGATCCCATTGAAACCATTTAAATAGCGCCAGTATATTAGTTTTAATTAAAAAATATCTCAGAAATTGCGGCCTGTATGTTTAACAAGAGAATACTTGGGCAGACATATGAGTTTAGAAGATGATTTTGACTCGATCAGTAGAATTATAATAAATGAGTCTATTTTGATCTTTAATGTACCACAAGTGGTGTATGGTATGAAAAGACCAAAAAAAGCGAAAAAACGAAATTTTCTTACTCTACTTTACTGAATGGAGGTAAACGAATTTTTTATCAAATAAATATATTGTTTGTACGATATATGATGCGAATACGTGTGCGCAGCAATCATTGTCTCAATTGTTGCGCATTTTCATGTTTCAATAGCAGTTATAATAAATAAGAAAATTTTATACATCCCTGATCAAATAAATATATGAAGATCATATACGTGTATTTTTGTTAATCGCGAAGTAAGGGTAAACATGAAAGACTCTGAGGCTGAAGTTTACGACAATAGTGGTATCGAAACGGGGAAACTTTCGCTTAAGGTTTTCTTTAAATTTTTGGCTATCAGGAATGTATCTTTACGCAACATCTTGTACTGAATGAACTAACTCAACAATTTTCGATTGCAAGAGGTTTGTATATGTGTGGGCGGATGTGAGGAGATTGACTTGTTAAACGGCCGCGTATAGCGTTATGCTTGGATAACGGACAAAGAAGACGGCACATGTAAAGCGATTGTTTAATATCTTCATTCATAGTCGAAAATATGAATCTGATGTAAATGTACAAAGTTCCCCATTGACTGTTTAAAATGTAACTGTAATGAATGGAAATTTGTACGTTTTCCAATGCAATTAATTGACCTGTACACTGTAAGGGCTTTTGCCATTTCCTGGTGCTCAGCGGCACCAACCTTTGACTCACAAGAATTTCATGTTTTCTTTGAATGTTTAAAGAGTAGTTTGACTAGCAGAAGTATCCACTTTGTTGTTTCATTTTTCTTACTTCGCTTACAATTCCGATCTATTCCCTTTGCCAATTCGGAACGTACTCTCATTATCCTTGTCTTTCCTTTTTTGCCTTATTCGCGTTGTCGTTTTCGGGTCTCGTCTGATTCTGACACCTTTTACTCGACCGGACCGGTCTGTTCCTCAAAACGGACCATTTGAAGTCAGCTCTTTTACGGGTCCCGTCAAGGTTGCCTTTTGGAAACCTTACCTTATCCCAATCAGAAACACCTACTTCTGAGTAGGGCTCCTCTATCTCCCGTCGTCCGTCTAGTCCTTTACTTAATCCTAATTCTTAACCTAATTTAGCCTAGCACTCCCTCCTCCTGCACGTAGAACCTGTGAGGCCAAAACAAGGGACACATTGCACCTTGTTCGTGGCTAAATCTTTACCCTATATTGTATACATGCCAGTTATACTGATGTTTAAAGGGGCTTGTACCTTCCAGTAAGTTACATGGCGATCGCATTTTATTACTAAGTAAGCGGCTTTAATATTTGTGGCAATTGGTATCGACGGCATACAATGGCTTTATATGTGGTTTAATCATCAAAGCACGAGCTCAGCGGTATTGATTTAATCCAAGATCGCGATTCGGTCATATTTCGAGACTTTTTGAAAAATTATTACATATTTGGACTGAATGGTTTTGACACCGTTCGGTGCGGTTGTCGTTTAAAGCAATAAGCCGCCGAATTCTTGATAGTCGTTTTGTAGAAAGCGTGTCGGAAAATCACGAAATTAGATCACCAATCAAATCAAATTTACAGCGATCTTCACGAGAGATTTTACATCGTCTCGACCAAAATTACAAGATTTACAATGTCCTCAAGAAATTTGAAACTAGTTTCCGTGCCATGTATTTAGAACGAACACAATATTCATTCCTTTCATTTATGTCCATCACACACAAATGAGAAGTATATTCATTTCATCGAAACGTTCGCGACGCCCAGAAGCATGTTTCAAACATCACATAAAGCATATACACTCCTTGCCAATGTTAAATACGGAACACACCTAAGCATGTCCATCTGTCCGTCAGCCTCCAAATCTGCAAAAGAATTTAAAAGTAACTTAAACTTTTCAAGGAAAAAATCAGCCGTTTCCACTCCATATTACAGAGCATGAACATTGAGTTCTTTTCCTTTTTCTGCCTTACTTAGGATAACGGTGATGGATATAAAAGATTCGTTTACAAGTACGGGTAGTTTTCTTACTAGTTTTTTCATTTTTTGATTCTTTAAAAGTACGTGGCTTGTGAGATATGATTGTAAAGAATATGTAAAACAATACTTACAATACATTCCTCGTTGAGGCAACATAAGTCGCCTGACGCCGAGGTGGGTTTCCAAAAGTGCTCCCCCTGTATGGCATTTTCCGTCCAATCGGGCACGATACGTATCGGTCGTCGGGCATTGCTGGTTGCGCCAGTTCTTCTGTAAAAAAAAAAAAGCACAAATTAAGAAATTATTCGAAAATGAAACATCGACCCTGTTTAATATGAGATAACACCGGATGGATAGATACATTAGTGAACAAACTTTCTATTATAGATTTGTCTGTGAAAGATTTTTCATTTGGATGTAATAAAAGTTGCGATGCTCAAATTGATTCATCATGCCGGCATATAATATAAAGAGTGCCTTTATTCAGAGAATTTGTGATTCCCAGGCACAGCAATTTTGTTAACCTGTTAGCTGGAAATGTAGGCATTACTACTGTAGATGATTTTTAGTGAAATATATTCAAATGCTTAAGCACTCGGTGGACGAAATCTATTTAAGACTTGTTTCGTAAGTTGGTGAATATCGGAGCGGAAAATATTTTTTCCTCCTGGAGAATGACTACAGGATCTGCCTGGCTATTCATAAACATGTTTGCTTACCGCGACTATGTCTTTTTATGTTTAACGTGCAAAATAATAAATAAGAAATCGTAAAATTTTCGGCGTTCATTGCTCAGTTTCTCGCTTGTAATTCCAATTTCTAAGACCGTATAAATTGAATTCGAACACTTTTTATTTCGAGTTTAGGCACAAACATGGAAAAAAACTGAAATCTCATATAAATTCGAAAAAGCTTTGCGAAAACCTTGATAAATGCGCGCATGATTATGAGAAGCCGTCACTATCTTCACTATCCTAATAGCTATTTCACACTAGAACTACCAGCGTTGTACATATAAATATTTCCATCAACGGCGGTCAATTTGATTCAGTTTCCTTTCCGAATTGCCACAGTAGGGAAAAGTCAAGATGGAAAGCTAAAAATTGAGTAGGCACAATTCTGAATTCCGATATTAGTCAAGACTACCTTTATGTTGAATCCAAGAAGAAAGAGATTTACTCGTACGTCTATTACCATTACATACATGCACTCTTAACGCTTAAACAGTTGACTTTGGGAAACGTCTTCATAGGATCGATGAAAATAAGATAAAGTTGTAAATTTTTTCGAGGTTACTTCAGTTTTTTCTCTACTCTAGGCGTGTGTACGGATAGATTGCAACCATTTTTTTAACTTTTGTCTCCTAATCTGTCAAAGAATGTTTGAGCAATATTTCAGATATTTACCTTCACTTTTTCGATGCATACATGTCGGCATCCCATCGACATTTCCAAAAACCCCGTTCGATAGAGTTGTATTATTGGTATTTAACATTCTTTTCGTCACAAAATTCTATAACATAACGTCGTTTATAAATATATTTTGCAATTGGAAATCAAAATGGTGTACGTCATATTTCTAGTCGTAATATGCATATTAATGCTAATAAAAATTTCAGGTCTTTTTTTTTTTTTACACCCTATGCTACTTGTCGCAAAAATGTGCTAAATTTGTGGCTATGATAGATTCAACTTTTATTTAATCGATCGCTTTAGAATAATTATTTAAGTTGATTTTTGTGTTTGTGTGTTGACTCAAGGGCGAACCCTATTAAAAGTTAATTGGATTTACACTTGGCACCACTACCTATATAATGCCTTTTTTGTAAAAACATTTTATATAAAAGACAAGTGAGAACGTGATCGATCCTCTTATACACATTACCGTTAATGTGTACAAAAAAAGCTAAAAAATAGAATAGAAGTAAAATTTCCTTAGGCCATAGTACGGGACTGTTTCTATTTTTAGAATAAAAGTAAGAATTTATGGGGTGTACGTGTTGTACTTTATACCTAAGACGCGAAAGACACAGAAACCAGAGGTGTTCACAGTGCTTGTTGTATAGGCGTGTCCTTTGCCATTTTCAAATTCTTTTGCAAATTTGCAGTGTACTCCACTTCTTCTTCGACGATGGGCATAAAAAAATTTGGAATTTTTCAATATTTCTCTCCATAGATCGATAAAAGATAGTGTTTTGATATATTGAGTGAATGTCGAAAATTTGAGTGAGAGGAGATCATTTTTTGAGCCTCCATTATTGTTACAAAATATTAAAATTTATACGGCAAGAAAGTCTAGTATTTAATAACCCGTGATGAACGTGGTCCTAACCGATGATTTGATATATAAATCTGTTGTGCTATATATTATTTGGATTCTTTGTTATGTATAACATGACTAGCTATGCAGAGGCGTGTTCATTTTTTTTTTTTTTTTTTTTTTTTTTGTTTATTTGACCCGTCTAAGAGCCGAGTAAAAAATTCATCATCAAAAGGAAAATAGAACCCATTCGAAGCAGAATATAACGAGCAATTTGGCAAACTTGTGCACGCCCTGCGCTCGTATTTTTTACTTTGTGTGCAGGAATTTTGTTTAATTTCGTTTTCTTCTTGTATGATTACATAAAAGTGGTTAAATTAATTGAAATACATTGAAACTTTTATGTTCGCATCGTTTTAGTTTTTAGGATAAGCGCTTGGTGCTCTCGTCAAAAAGTGTCTATCTTCTCTGCGTGTTGTTGCTTCCAAACATCTGCCTAGCTTTGCGGCGTTTATAGCTTTCGGCTTTGTTTAGGGTGTCTTCAATAGTGTGAAGTTTGCGCCTAATTTCAGAGGTCATTTTTGAGTACGTGGTACACATTTTTTTATGTTTTGTTTCTTCACAAACTTTATTATCTCTGTTGCTTTCTGACATGAAGTGTCTGTTTATTTACATTCATTACTTGCGGGCTTTGCGAGTGTTATTGTCATGGGATTAATATGAAGGTATTTTTAGCTGTGCTGGTCACATGGCGCTGAGAGGTCGCAAATCAGTTGCTATCCAATCAAGTTTCAAAACAGTTCGTCCTTAGACAAAAATATGTCAGGATATTAAATTTTTTAAAGGGTTTGTAGGTAAGTTAAACATAAAAATACATGGACGAATATGAGTCGGACAGATAGACAGACAAACGTAAATTGGTTCAGAAAATAATCCTGAATTAGTCGTTATTCTGTCTCAAGTCTTCCTGGATGTCACACATACATCCGCACAAGCTTAAGCCGATTTTTTTTTTCTTCTTTTCTAAAGTTTTTCGGTTCGTTTCATTTCACTCAACTAAAAATTTGACAGTCGAGTTCAATTGACTCTTAAAGTAAATCTTAAATTAATTAATATTAAAACTTAGTATAAGTACAATAAAACAAATAAGAAATAAAAAAAAGAAAAAAAAAAGCATGTACACAACTAGCATAGACCAACACCCACAACCGGTACAGGACCAAATTGTAAATGAAGCCGTAAGCCATCGCAAACATGCATAAGCTTGGCAACCGATAATAGTTAACAACAATTCATTTTAGACTCATCGTGACATTTTAAGGTTAACAGCTAGTTTGAGTACAACATAGGTAAATCGCATTAAGCTTTAATGGACTTTAAATAGTCCGATAATGAGAATAAGTGATAGACATCATTTAGGTTCTTGCAAACAACTCTGAACGGATTAAACAACTCATAGTTATATTTACATTGACTAAGCTTAACCAAGGTAAAGTGCCCAGAGAAGCGGTTGGGGACATTAAAGCTTATTTCACCAAGTTATGCAAGCGAGTCAATAGCACCATTTATTACTTTGATTACGAAGGAAACGCCAAGAACAAATCTACGTTTTTCGAGAGATGGTAAGGACAACAGAAGCAACCTATCATTTCATGGGGGGAAGAGAGGCAATAGGTTTCCCAACCCAAATTCCTTTTGACCAGATTCAATTGAATCTACATAGCACCTATATGAAGGAGACGACATTACAGAGGCATACTCGAGTATAGGTCTAACCAAACACATGTACAGCGTTTTCATAATATAAGGACCGTGAAGCTCGTTGGACCACCTCTTTATAAAACCAAGCGCGGACCCAGGTTTGCTTAACGAGAGCTCAATGTGCAAATTAAAACGTAATCTACGGTCAAATAGAACGCCTAAATCTGTGAACATACCGACATTGTATTGCAGAATACATATACGCATAAAAGCGCATATAAAAAAAGACTGCGCAAAACAGTCAGTTTAAGAAAGGCACATATTATGTTAAATAAAGTCCTGAAGTTCATATAAAAATAATGGATTTCTTTTTCCCCGAACTAATATATATGATTTTTTTTTATAACATATGCAATATTTGGAGTCCAAATTCACAATGTACTAAACTCTTGTTGGATAGAAATTTATATTTGGTTTAAGAGTCTTGAGGCAAAGACGAGAGATAGTAGTAGAGATAGTAGGCATTGTTTCAAATTTCAGCGCACATGAGTATAAAATGCCTGAAATTCGCATATGTATTGTGACATCCTGAAAGCTTAGTATATAATAGATTGTGTGTGAGGCATATTTCTTGGAAGTAGAGAAAACATATTCACTTTTGTTTTGCTTTCTCTTTTTTCTTGGTTATGTTCTAATGTATAGATTAATTAGTTTGATTTTCTATAACAAAGAAAACGGCGTAAGAACAGAATTTAAGACTACTTTGGATGATTTAGATTAACTTTGCATGCTTTGCGATGAAAGGTAGGAAAGAAGACATGGTTCAATTAAAATAATTAAAATGTATACAGGTGTGATAAGCATATGTCACATAATTTAGAATATATTTTATGTTTTTAATTTCGCTTTAAATATCTTATTAATTATTTTTACCGTTAACCACTAACAGTTGTGCTCTATTTATAGAATTTTTATTCAAGGTAGAAGAAGGCGTTTCTGCGAGAAAAATCGAAGGCTCAACGATTTATTACATTTTAGATGAAATTGAGTGCATGCTTTTTCTATTTTTGTTATTCGCCGTTCGATTTCATAAAGTGCCTATAAAATGATAATAAACAGTATTTGAACTATGTACTAGTCGTTTGAAAAAGCTCCATCTCAAGCAACGAACAATGAGATGAGAAATAAATGAAAGAAGAAAATTGCTTTTAATAAAAACCAACAAAGCATATGAACGCATCGGGACATATATACACACGCCCACACATACATACATATACAACGGAGAATGTTCCAACTCACCGCTGACG